TTCCATATTAATGGGTTAACAAACATACCATTTTTTCTACCGAGAAAACTAGGTAGTAAAGGTTGAGTTTCAGTTTCCCTACTGTGATTAATCTCAAGGAGAGCTGGAAACAGAATGGTCTTTTTATTTATTTTTTGTTTTTTTATTTTGTTTGAGACGGAGTCTCACTCTTTTGCCTGGGCTAGAATGTTATGGCTTCAGCCTAGCTCACAGCAACCTCAAACTCGTGGGCTCAAGCGATCCTCTTGCCTCAGCCTCCCAAGTAGCTGGGACTACAGGCATGCGCCACCATGCCTGGCTGTTTTTTTTTCTATTTTTAGTACAGACGGGGTCTAGCTCTTGCTCAGGTATTTTGAACTCCTGAGCTCAAGTGATCTTCCCACCTCAACCTCCCAGAGTGCTAGGATTACAGGCATGAACCACTGACCCCGGCCAAAACTGGTCTAAACATATAGAGTGAGAAAGCCACACAACTTGCTGCTTACCTTTACCCAGAAGCACCTTCTTCATCCCAGTCCCTCACTCCCTTGAACCCAGCTCAGGGAAGGCACTTTTTATTTTATCATTATCATTAACTCATTATCAGTAAACTTAGAACACAGGGATGTCTGAATCTTAGGTCTCTACTGTTAATGTCAGTCCTGTTACACAGTCTTAGCTCTTGGCACCCTTTATGGAAAATTTCAGAACTATATAAAAAATCGTTTCTAAAATCCTGATAGACACATTTTGCCAAGAATGTCACTTATCTCTTGACAGTTTCGCATTCACCCTTAAATAAGGATTGTGTAATCATACCATTCAGGGAAAATAAGGTGGGTGGCTGGCATTTCAAAAGTGAAATGGACTTGGGTACCTGGGAGTAATCATTATTCTACTCAAAATGGTAATACTAAAAGGATTTCCTTTCTAATAGTGAAAGGTTAAGTGGGTAAAAAGCTGTATTTTGTGATTGAATAACTTAGGAGGTGAGTAAAATGTGATTTATGAGTTTATTTAACAAATTTTTTACTAGAATAGTATCTGAAGAATATTTCATATTTTCAAGCTTTGAAATGGTGAAAGTAATGAAGGAACTTTCTAGTGAGTTCCCATTAGTCTACCAGCCTGACCAGCACATCTCAGAAATAGATCATTATTTTTGTCATTTTAACCTGCCTTCCTTGCCCTTGACTTTGCAGCAGAGAGGAGAAAGAGACTTGTGACCTCTACCATAAATACACATGGTAACAGCAGTCAAGTAATTTTATATTTTTTGTGGCAAGTCATTCATTCAGTGGTGATGGAATGGCTTATTTTTAATGCAGTGTTTTTCTTTTGACTAAGTTTTTTTTTCCATCCGATTTAGTGTCTGTACCATTCCAAGGCAGCATAAATTTAGCACAGCTTCTCATTTTACCAACTCGGTACAAGTTTTAAAAGTTTTATTCAGTTTATATTTAGGTTTTCATGTGAAATGGACTGTAAGAACTCTTTAATTTATGGCATGATGTGTAATTAAAGACAAACTCGTTGTATGTGGCATGTAAGTTGTACTAGGGACCATGGGAAAAGAGGAGGTTTGGAAAATCTTTGTAAAATAGATGTAAGTATGAACTAAATCCCAAACAAGCCACAAAATGAAAGAAACCTAGTTTTACTGCATCCAGGTAAAGGATAGAAAAGATGTCTTCAGTTATCCAGAAGTAACATCCATAAGGATAACTCATAATTTTAAATGATTAGTTAAGAATAATTGCTATAGATCATTGTCATTCATTGCAGATTAGTTCTGATAGAAAATGCTGCTTCTGTGGATTTTTACATTGTAAAGTTAGTTTAAGGCCAGGCGTGGTGGCTCACGCCTCTAATCCTAGCACTCTGGGAGGCTGAGGCGGGAGGATTGCTTGAGCTCAGGAGTTTGAGAGCAGCCTGAGCAAGAGTGAGACCCCGTCTCTACTATAAATAGAAAGAAATTAGCCAAACAACTAAACATAGAAAAAATTAGCCAGGCACGGTGGCGTGTGCCTGTAGTCCCAGCTACCCAGGAGGCTGAGGAGGATGGCTTGAGCCCAGGAGTTTGAGGTTGCTGTGAGCTAGGCTGACGCCACGGCACTGTAGCCCGGGCAACACAGTGAGACTGTGTCTCCAAAAAAAAAAAAATTACTTTAAGACTTTTGTTAAACTCATTTAATCTGCTATGCTGATATATTCTTTCATTATCCTTGAAAGTTTTAGTTTCGTTTAAGGGTTGGAATATCTTTATCTGTACTACTAAAGTCACTTGACTTTTGGATATCCCACGTTGAGTAGAGACATACATTGGTGGTGCTCTGGTTAGGGAGAGAGCACTAGTGGACACTCATAGTAGCCTGTTGTATAACTGGCTTATAAGCTGTTTAACCAGTTTCCTACTGATAAATATTTAGATTGTTTCCATTTATAAATATCAAAATTCCAGTAAACTTATTTGCACATGTATCAGAAATAATTATTTTTAATACACTTTTTATTAAAGAATAACATACAAAAAGTATACAAATTTTTTTGTAGCTCTGTGATAAAATCTGTGAAACTCATACATTTATGCGTATCAACTCATTCTTTTTTAAAAATTGCTGTGTATTTTTTGTTGGGTGACTATACCACAATTTATCCTTTTTACTGTTGATAAACATTCGAGCTGTCTCTAGATTTTAACTATTACAAATAGTGCTATGAACATTCTTAAGCATGTATTTTGGTAAATATAACTATACGTATGTATTGGGTATATACCCAGGAACAGCTCTGACAGGCATAGGGTATGCATATGTGCAGGTTTAGTACTGCTAACAGTTTTCCAAAGTGGGTGAAACCATATCACACTCCCACCAGCAGTGTCTGGCTATTTTTATAAAATAACTTCATAGAAGTAAAATTTGAATAAAAGAGTAAATTCATTTTAAGTTTTATAGGACAGTGCTAGATTTGTCCTCAGAAGTACTAATTCATACTCCACTGAGCACTGGGTTTTATCTAGCTCTTTCATTGTCGTCAGTTTATAGTAAAAAAAAATCTTTTTAAATTTCTTCAATGAATTGGACTTTTTATACCCTAATTTTGTCCATTTCAATTTTCTCAACTTGACTATCTTGCCTTTTTTATGTTTGGGGTGTTTGTATGTTTTTTTTTTCCTTATTGCTTTGTTGTAATAACTCCTTATTTTAAAAATCCACATTTTTTCTTCCTAGTTGGTCCTTTGCCTTTGTCTTTTACGGTGTTGGAAATTTTAAATGTGTGTGTGCATATATCTGCTAATCTCTTCCTTTGTGGTTTCTGGCCTTGGTATCATTCTTAAGAAAGAAAGTCTTTCCTACCCCCAGGATTATTTTTAAAATCTCTGTTTTCTTTGAGGGCTTTATTGTTTATATTTAACTTTGTTTATTATAACTGGACTTGACTTTTTCCTGACACAGGGTGCTTTTTTAAAGTTTTAAAACATTTAAAACATGTTGTACTTTATTATATTAGCATTAACTGATTTATTTTGTAGCATGTCAGAGAGTGGCTGTTTGTTCAGGAAGAATTTAGTACACCACAGTAAGCATACATGTCATTTGACCAAGTAAGAAATGAAGCCAATTTTCCTATGTGAATACTATTTGAATCCTTTTAGTGTATTTGTTATTAGTTAATTTTCATTTAGAAAAGAATGAGATCAAATTAGCCTAGACTGAATTATCTTATTTAAATATCTCTTGTGGATACTATTCAAGGCTCTTGCCAAAAGTACACCTGGCTTCTTGGAGTCCGTTCTATGGCCTTCAGGACATGGGCTTGGAGTGCCAAATATTTAATTTCAAACCTTTGAAAATACCATTTATTTTCTATTTAATAGATCATTTTAAAATTTTTTATGTTTCTTCCTCTTTTGTGTAATAGTATATGCAATTAAAATGTAATGTGCACTGCTGATTGAGAACTCTGTCGTAGCTGGTTTTCTTTTTTAATGTTACAGTGGGATTTGAGAGCTTCCCAAAGCCCCTGCCACCTATCAATAGACTCATTATTACATTAGACAACAAAGCAGAGACATAGAACAGATTTCAGACCAGGAGCCCTCTCTACTAATATGGATGAATTAGGTTTCTGTAATTGAATCATAGCATCTTAAAGGGCGAGAGACCCAGGGATAGGTAAGTTTTTGAGTAAGAGGACACAGAAGTGTTACCCTCTGTAATTAGAGCCCTGGAGCACACCAGAAGCTAGAGGCAAGTCTAAATAAAGTGGAGTTTGGGGAGAGAAGGAAAGAGTAGATAAAAATAAATATCACAGATGAGATTTTAAAAAAAATTTTCTTTGCTGGTTTTTTGCATTTGGCAGTACTCCTTGTAGCAAGATTGTATCATTAACTGTTTTGATTATTCTGTAAGGCAAACAGAAAATTGCGGGAACTTTCTTTAGTAAATTTATAATTTTTAGGAGCATCGCATTTCCAGTTTAGGAGAATTTGTGTTGTGTTCGAGTATTTGAATGTGACTTAGGGGAATATTGGATTTATGTTAAAGGGTCATTGGGATAGATTGAGGAGGAGAGGGTACAGAGGGGAGAAAAACTAAAAGTAAGTGCCCATTGTTTATTTACCTATAGGTAAACTGCACTCTTACACATTTTACATGTTTAACTCATTTAATCCTCACAAAATCCTATGAAGTGATGGTGATGTTTTCCCAATTTGTAAAGAGAGAACAAAGGCTCAGGGAGTGAATTTACATGATTTTGTCTGTCTAGGCTCATGATTTTGTCTGACCCAGTAAATGGCAGTGGTGGGATTTGAACACCAATCTCTGAATCCAAAGCTCATGCATATTCTTTTCACTAGTCTATATTGCCTCCTAAACTACTAGAATTATTATGTATATTTTATCAGTATCATACCAAATTTTGGTAACACTTTAAATGGCATATCTTGGGGATGTCATCAGTAGTTCTTCCAGGTACTGTAAATTCTGTGTAATTTCCTTTACCATCCACCTTAGCATTGAGAGTAAGCATGAGGTTACGATCCTGGGAGGACTCAATGAATTTGTAGTGAAGTTCTATGGACCACAAGGAAGTAAGTACGTGTGTTGGTATGTGTTCTTTGATTCTATTACAATCTTTGACTCTCTTCCTTAATAGAATATCAGTCACAGATGGTGGCATGTAGTTTTTGTTTTGTTTTGTCTTTTTGAGACGGTCTCGCTCTGTCACCTGGGGCTAGAGTGCTGTGGCTTCAGCCTAGCTCACAGCAACTTCAAACTCCTGGGCTCAAGCGATCCTCTTGCCTCACCCTCCCTAGTAGCTGGGACTACAGGTGTGCACCACCACACCTGGCTAATTTTTACTACTTTTAGTAGAGATGGGGTCTCACTCTTGCTCAGGGCTCAGGCTGGTCTCAGACTCCTGACCTCAAGCGACCGATACTCCTGCCTTGGCTTCCCAGAGTGCTAGGATTACAGGTGTGAGCCACCTTGCCCAGCCCATGCAGTTTTTGAAAAATAAGTTTAATTGAACTCTAGAACCAGTGAGGCAATTTCTTACTGTATTAACTTTATATATAGTTGTCCCTCAGTATCTACAGGGGATTGGTTTCAGGATAACCTCTGCCCCCTTGGTCCAATACCAAAATCCAAGGATGCTCAAGTCCCTTACGTGGAATGGTGTAGTATTTACATATAACCTATACACATCCTCCTGTATACTTTAAATGATCTCTAGATTACTTATAATACCTAATACAATGTAAATGCTATGTAAATAGTTGTTACA